TACTGCTGCTAGCCTCCCGCCCACGCAACTAACACCTCCAATTCTCATTTCCGCTGATATCCAATATATCTTCCCTCACTACTCTACCATCGTGATACTCCTTCATCGTCCCTGCGCCACCGTACCATCTCTCGGTCAACTCAATACACTTGCCTGGTCTATCGAATCCATAGGCTAAAACTCTGCCATTGTTATTGACTCGTATAGACGAATTAGCTTCTTGCAGACTTTCTTGTAAGAAACCTGATATCTTCACCTGACAGGAGCTAAGCCCTATACCGCGACCGCTGTTTCTATCGTCCAGCACTATACCCTTCTGCGATTAACATTCTGAAGCACGGTCTGCCGTAGGGTATTGAAATCACTGGCATGCAACTTGTCGTAAGTATATGCATTCGTGACCATTTATCGTTACGCACACATCTCTACCTACTCTTGAGGCACATTGTAGCATGATCTATGCGTTGCAGAGCCTGACAAACAAGCACCGTACCAATCCAATATTTGCCACTGACACTACTTCAGAGTCGTCCTTCACAAAACGTATAATACCATCAATATGGTTCATCGTCACCATGATCATCTCCTCCGACCGCCCACAGTGTACTGTCTGAGGGTCTCCAATTCACCAGGAGCACATTGTCCTCCGATAATCACAAATTATGACTTGCAGTTTTAATCCCATAGACACTAAGTCGAAGAGCTTATCCATGCTTAGTGTGTTCAACCTCATTATAGAACTGTGCACTAGCCGTTCCAGTAGTTGTCGCAGTGATCGCATCGAATACCTACAGAAATTACATCACCGAACATGTATTCAATCTCACATCTGCTGAGGGACGAACATCTCCTTTATGAAGGATCTAAACGAAAATTCTCTGCTATCAACCTGGTTCTCGTATCCGAACACCGCTACTTCTCGAACATAGATCGTATCACATCATTCAAGACCCGGTGCTTCTTAGCTGAAGAGATGTTCTGAGCCTCCAGACGCTGATTCAGAATATATCTAAGTGAATTAAACGCTCCAAATCGTGTATTCGAATTCCAACGTCTATCGATTGAACAAGACTTAACAAGTAACGATGCCTTTCAAGTTGAATTTTCAAACTCACACAACCTGACAACGGAGCAAGGCCCTATAACATCTAGCGAACCGTCAACAACGAGAGTAAGCTAGCCCATGTTACATCATTTCACCTCCCATATTGATGACGACCAACGGCATGGTCAACAAGTGGCCAATGACCATTCTCGAGCGGATACCGATCACGTGTGATTGATGACTGGATGACCCAAACACTCAACCATCAACTCCAACTCAAGCCATACATCCAACATACTGCCTCACTTGAGG